GCTAAATCCCATATATCTTTTGCCAACTGAATTTGCAACTGCTTCCTCAAAGCTCGGTTGCAATTTTCGATCCCGCTGTCGCCAACCGATTCACCCGCGACCTCTCCCTCTGGGCTCACCATGAATTTCGGCACCCCCTGTCCCTTCTCTACTTTCTTCTTTTTCCTTTCACGCCGATTCCCACTCTGGATTCCTTCCCCTGTTTTTCTGGCCTTGAGGTAGACCGTACTGCACAGGCGAATCTTCTTCTTTCTTTGAATGACACCCTCCTTGCTTCTTTGCATGCAGATCTGCACCTGATCACTTGCACTTGCGCGCTCCTGCCCGTTGAGATCTCCTTTATCTTCTTGCTTCTGATCATCTTCGCTGCAAGAAAGGGCAGCTTTCCTTTCTCTCGAATTCTCCATTTCACTGTCTGATTTTGACTTTGCATACCCTTCATTAATACCCAAACCCGCACTTGAGGAATCCACATAGCATGGGCTGTCCTTTTGTGTGTTGGGCTTCCCAAAAAGGCCCAACTTAGGTCCCTTTTGATAACCCAAACTCTTGCTTCCAGCTTTGGCCTGCTGCCCGACCTTATCTCTATTTCCCGCCTGCTGCGTCCCCTTTTCTTCGCTTAAACTGCTTTTCCTTTTGTTTAAAATTTGAAACTGCTCCATGCTGTCCGCCACCTTCTCAACGGTCCCCTCCTCCTGCTGCAGACCGTTTCGAAGAACCGATTCGTACGTCTCCCCTCTACTGCAAACCACGTCATCATCATCTTCCTCTTTCTCGGCTGCATCATCCTTCCCCTGTTCTTCCTCCCCTGCACCTTTGCTAACACTGTCCTCTTTCTCACTAACCAGCGACCATGTTTCTTGTTCCTCTGAATCACTACTAAAGTGGGGGATGAAATCCTGTTTCAAAGAGAAGAAACTATTGGTGAATTCCTCCTCTGTGAACTTGAGCTTGTAAACGGATCCGTCGATTTTGATTTGTCTCGTCACTGAAATGTTGTTCATAATTGGAGTCGAAATTAAAAATCTAGCTATGTCAAATCTCCTCCTTTGACTTGTGCTATCATCAAGACAAATGAACTTGCCCCATGAGCTCCCCATCGAAGCAAAGAATTTAGGCCCCCATACGTTTAACGGTACGCCTTGACATTTAATCCAAACGAATCTTTCTTCCGCTACCAGATTTGGGGTCCAAGGGCACACCTTCTCGAACCATTGGCCCAACCACTCCGATGCTGATTCTACCAGGTCTTTCAGCTCATCCTTATCCTCACAGTCCATTAGAACCAGCCTACCCCCCATCGCTCGAATTCTACAGGAGAAATACCCTTCCATGTAGAATTTTTCTTGTAGGTTCCTAACCATTTCAACTGAATGAGTTGTGCCCACATAACAACCCTCCAGCCATGAAGAATCCTCTTGACTCGAGTTGTATTCAAACCCAGCCCAGGTATCACTCCTTCCTTTCTCTTGCCAAACTTGCCTGGTCGAGAGTTGCACTTTCAAGACTTCTGCATAGCTCCTGGTTTGAGCTTGTGGCTCCGGAATGGGTCTGGATTTTATTTCCTTCCCTACTTGCTGATTGTCTTCGTATCTTGGAGCATTAACCCACAGTTTGCAATCTCCAATCCAGATATTATCTAATTTTCTTTCCAGCTCTTTTCTGTTCTTCACATCAAGAAATCTGACAAAGCCAAACCTGCCACCATTTCTGCTTCTTCTCTTTGGACTGTAAATAGCATATACCCTCCCGAATTTCAGAAACGTTCTCCACATGTCTTCATATGTCCATTCTTCTAGGAAGTTTGTGAAAAAATAAGGTGTCGCTTGTTTGTATAATCCCCAGTCGTAAGAGTCTCCTATCTTCCTTTCAAACACCTGATTCTGCTCATACTGCTTCTCCCTTTTCTGATCTGGTAACCTCCTGCTCTGACGATTTCTCTGCTGAGATCTACCATTCTCTATACTCTGTGCCGTCTTCCTAGCCCGTGCCCATCGGTCGCCTTCTCTCGTTCTCGCTCTACCTCTCTCTCTCATCTCGTTTTCGCCTAGTGCAGACTTTGGAATGAGATTGCAGAGGTAATTTTATAATTAACTTTAGTTCACTTTACAACCAAAGCGCACTAAAAACTCTATGACTTTACAGTAAAGTTGAAATAAGAAAATGTTTAATTATATAATTAGTCATGAAATCATCAAATGTTGCCTAAATTATTTTGTCAAAACAATACACATCGCACTTGGGCCTACGGTCTAGTGGCATTCGGTCACATATAAGTGCATTTTACTTCCCCTCAGAATAATGGTTCGAATCCGACTCTTTATAAATTTGTTCAAAGAAAAAAACGATACACATCAAATGCATTGTGATTGATTTTTAGCTACAGTTAAATTAAGGCAAAACCATAGGTTAAATCCTTGAATTTATTTTAGAATTTTAATTAAGTGTTTAGATTTTTATTAAAGTAAATAAACTTTTGGATTTGTCGATCTGGACAATTTAACTATCTTTCTTAAGGTGAATTTAATATCTATTTATGCTTACTTATGTAGATAAGATCAATACCTGTCATGTGGGTAATTATATGTCAATATTTTATCCACGCAAGCAATGCACAAATGGGTATTAAATCCATCGTAAAGAAAAAGGGTTAAACTATTTAAATTACCAAGTTTAGATATTTATTTACTTCAATAAAAATTTAGCAGTTTATAATCAAAATTTTGAGATAAGTTTGGGCTTAACATAAAGTTTTGCCTTAAAACAATAGGCACAAGTTCAATGAGCCGTCATCATTTTGTGATAAAATTCTTGACCATGGCAATTTTGAGTTCAGTCATAAAATAGTTTAGTTGAATGGTGGAGATATATCAATGATTTTGATAAACAAATGGGCAAACCTTTTTTGGTGGGATATTGTGCGATTATTTGTTGGCATGTGTGGAAGGCAAGAAATGAAAAATGTTTTGAAATGTTGAAATTCATCTCCACCAAGTTCTTACTCGTCTCAGTTTTATGATCCAAGAGTACTCTATATCCATGAGTAAGGATTTGTTGGTTTCCCCTTCTAGGTTGTTGGTAAGTGGCAAACAGATTCAATCTTCTTGGTCTAGTCCTCCACCAGGTGTCCTTAAAGTCAATGTGGATGCTTCATTTATGCCTAACTTGGGTTCTACTGCTGTGGCTATGGTTGGACAAAACTTTAATGGTGAAGTTTGTTTTGGAAAGACTTGGTTTTGTATGGCTATTTCTCCACTTATGGCTAAGACAATTGCTTTGCCTAAGGCTGCTCAATTTGTGGGAGACATGGGAGTTCACTACGTGGTAATTGAGTCTAATAATCAAGAATTAATTTCATGTCTTCAACAACCTAACAAACCTCTTTCATGGGAGGCTAAGTCTATTATTAAGAGTATTAGACGACTTTGTAATCCCTATCCTTGAATTTTTGTTCTCTTTTGTTTCTGGGGAAGGAAATCAGGTTGTGGACTAGGTGGCTCGTTCATATCTTCAAGGGTAATGTCCTTCATATTGGGTACATTAGCCTCGTAATATTTTCTTTTTTTCTAATTCAGGATGGTCTATGTACTTGATGTAAATTATATTTAAATATTATATAAAATTTCCAATTTCTCAAAAAAAAAATCATTAAATGCATATAGTATCACAAATTCATGAATGAATAAGGTTATTTATATAATCAAATACTAAAATTATAAATTTATAATATCATATAATATTATAACAATATTATTGAAAAAAAAATACAAGCAGGATGGAGCCAATAAAGGACAAAGGGACAGCCGTGCCCCCTAAACTTTTTAAAGACTTTTAATATGGTACTCCAACTTTTATTTGTTTAAAATTTTCTTTTTATAGTATTAATTTTAAAGTCCATTTCTAATGTAGAGAAAATATTTAGTATATAAATAAAGAATTTACAAAAAAATAGGATATGATTTAAATAAAATGAATCTATGTCAATTTAATTAATTAAGAATTAAGGTTTTTAAACATTTTCTCATCTATTAAATCCAAAAAAAAAAAA